TCCGCCCCCAGCCGCCAGTGCTGGGACGTGGTGAGGGGTGCCCATCCATCCCCCCATAGAGGTTCAGCACCATCCACCCCGTACCCCTCTTCTGCAGGAGCTGCCCTGGGGCGCTTGGTGGGCGAGACGGTGGCCGCGCTCTTCCCCCAGGGCGTCACCATGGGGTACCCGGTTGTCGCCGGCGGCTACGCTCTGGCTGGTAGGTGAAGACAGAGAAAGCAATAATAATAATAAAACACACAATAAAAATGTATTGTGGGGTGGAGGACGTTGTTATGCGAGGGGCTCACTCACGCACCGAGCGCGCCGGGTCTCTGCGCAGGGGCGGCGGCGTTCTCGGGGGCCGTGACGCACTCGGTGTCCACGGCGCTGCTGGTGTGCGAGGCCACGGGGCAGCTGGCGTGGGCGCTGCCCGTCACCGCAGTGCTGGCCACGCTGACGGCCGCCACCGACGCCGCTGACTTCCCCGTGGTGGAGAGCGCAGGTAGATGATCCCCCCCGGATCCGTGCGTCCCCCCCATCACCTTCACTGCTGTCCATCTCCCTCCTTTCCCCATAGAGACGCCCACGCTGGTGGGCACCGTGAGCCGCACGGAGCTGGTGGCCTTTCTGCAGAGCCACGGCGACGCCGGCGAGAAGGTGACCCCCGTCCTCCCCAAAAAGACATTTATTTCTTTTTTTCCCCCCCCATGGGGTGTTTCCAACTTTTTTTTTCACCTTTGCAGCCGGCGGGGACGGTGGGGGACGACTGCACCATCGAGCCCATCATGCTGCAGCTCTCGCCCTGGACCTCGCTGCACCAGGTAGCGGCTGCGGGGCAGGAAAGCGGAGCGGGGCGCTGGGAGGGGGCAGAATCCAATGGGTCCATCCGTCCATCCGTCCGTCCCTGCATCCGTCCGTCCGCCCGGCAGACCCACCACCTCTTCGAGCTGCTCAAGCTGCAGCGGCTCTTCGTCACCCGCGGCGGGGAGCTGGTGGGAGCGGTGACACGGGCCGAGGTGAGGATGGCACCGGGGGGGACACGGGGATGGGGGCACACACATGCGACAGGCCGCACGCAGCCGCTCCGTCTCTCGCAGCTGCGGAGAGCCATCGAGGAGCTCGCCCATCCCCAGTGACAACCTTCGGCCTTCCTCCTCCTCCTCCTCCTCACCGCGGCAGGGAAGGAGCCCGGGAAGCGCCAGGAGGGCTGAGGCCGGGACCGCTCATTGCACCGACAGCAGCGGCCCAAGAAGCGCTGCCCTCCATGGCCATGTGTCACTGCGGCACCAGAAAAAGGGGACAAAAAGGGGATTTTTTTTTTAAGAAAAAGAAGGCACAAATTTATTAAAACCATTTATTAAAACCAGATTTATTAAAACCTCACAAAAAATAAAACCATTAAATCATCAATGGGGAGAGGAAGAGGGTGAGGGGGCAGAGTGCGGCGTTTCCAAGTGCTGTTTCCACCCCCCCTTACAGGCAGAAAGCTGGGGAGAAATGTGATCGCTCTCAATAAATATAAAAATATATAATAAATTATGTTAAAAAAAAGGGGGAAGGGGAGAAGGTAACACTGGCAGCAGAGCGAATGGTGTTTGGGGGGAGGAATTAAAAAATAATTAAAAAATAAAAACACAGATGGGCTGCGGCACGGGAGTTGGGGCAGAATAAATAGGGAAAAAGGAAGGGAAAAGAGGAGCCGGGCTGGGGTGGGGAGAAGCCGCAGCCGGGGCCAGGGGCAGCCCTGCTCTTGAAATGTGGGAAAAAAGAGGAAAAACCAACCCTAAACAACCAAAAACCCTTAAACCTACTGAAAGAGAAGAGGGCCCGGCCTGAATGAGGCATTTTAAATTAACATATAGGGAAAAGGGCCGGAGGCGAGGCGGAGGAAATCTGTTTTTTTTCCTCCCTGTTTTGAAATTTTAACTTGATTTTCTTTTTGAAAGAGGGGGCATTTTCTTACCCCTTTTGCTCCCCCTGCCCACTCCCTGCTTCACCAAGGAGCATCTCCTGAGCCACGGCACCTGCTCCGGTGCGAAAAATCTCAATAATAATAATAATATAATAATAATAAAAACCCTCTCTTAATTCTAGAAACAATAAATAAGACCGGCTCGGCGGCGGCCGGGCTCCCTTCACTGCTCCGCTTCAAGTATTTCGGGGAGGCGGGGGGTCCCCCCGGCTCAGACGGGGCCGGCGCCGAGCTGGTCCCTCAGTGCCACCAGGCTGCAGACGATGCGTTTTTGGTGGCCCGGCAGGCGCACGCCAATCCGCTTGATGTCCCTGCGGGAGCAGGGGAAGCGGTTAAAGGGGATAATGGGAATGGGTTGGTCATGAGCATTCCCTGGGGAACGGTTGATCCCCAAAATCCCTTTGGGATGATTTGGTCTTAAGCATCCCTTGGGAATGGCTTGGTCCCCGGGAGCCCTTAGGGATGGATTGTTCCTTTGGGGACAGGTTGGTGCCCACCATCCTTCGAGGACGAGTTGGTCATGAGCATCCCTTGGGAACACTCGGGCCTTGAGTACCCCTCAGGGAACATCCAGCCCCAAACCCTGCTTGCCCCATGGAGGAGACATCTGCCCCACACCACGGAGGGGACACGTATCCGTCCCCAGCCCCGCAGCCGTCACACTCACTCTGTGCTCATCGCCGCCACCTTCTCCAGGGTGCTGTAGCCGGCGGCCCGGAAGTGGCCCGGCGACTG